GGCTCCTTAGAAAAAAGCCTAGGAAATAGCCCATGTGCATCCCAAACTTATTAGCCTAAGGTGGGCAGAGGGGTGAGGAGCAGCCTAGAGTACAGAGCTCTGGGAAAGAATCCCACTAATAAGGGGTGCTCTCCTGTAGCTATATGCTAAATGCGAGCTAGGCTGGGGAGGGCGAGCTTTGTCAGCTGCTGTCATCTTCAGAAGATAGACACAGCAGTAAGGAATATTTTTTTCACTTTTTTATAAAATGTTTAAAAAACATGGTGGCTGGGAAACCTCAAAGCAGACCCTGTGCTGCATGTCTGCTCCTCCCCTGAGCCTCTCTGCTTGGGGGTAGTAAAAATAATAAAAAGCCCAGTATATTTTCAGCACCTTACCTGACAGAGTTGGCTCAAGGCATAGGTGGCCTGGAGGATGAGAGGAGTAGTCTTCTCCCAGGCTGTTACCCTCTTGCTTCCTGCATCCACGCTTACACACAAACACTGTACCACCTGGTCATTCTCTAGCCTCTTACTGCCACTTGTAGTCTTCCTTCCTTCCTCTAAGGGCAAGATTAGCAACAGATGGCAGACTGTTAGAAAGAAAGGCAGCTGCCTAACTGGGCTGGTGCAGATGGGAAGAAACCAGCCCCAGCCTTGCTTTCCCAAGCTCACTTCTAAAACATTCCAGCTAAAGGCTAAGGCAGGAGAATGGCCAACACCAAAGGACATTTTTCAAAGATTTTTTTTTTCTTTTTTCTTTTTTTACACACTTAAGCTAACTCCATGCAGGTTATCATCCTGGCAACTTTCAGTCACATTCTACTGACTTTCAAGGGCCAAAATATGGTAAAAGTCACTTAAAATATCTATCCCTTCCATGCCTTAGTTCAACAGGTAGGTTTTATCGTTGGCCACTTCTACATTTTATGTGCTATTTACCAGTCTCGAAACCCCTCTAAATATATACCAAAAAAAAGCCACAGATTTAACAGCTTCTCTTCTCATAAAGAGGCACCAACGTTGCATCCAATTAGCCAGATATGACCCTGCTACTCTTTTCCTACTGTTAAGTAAGGAACAATTTCATACTTTCTTACCTTGTGATCTTGATTGGAAAGTAGCTATGGCTGACTTTATTGGTAATATCAGTTTCCATTTACCAGTCTCTAAGCTCCTGAACTTTTTACAAACCGTGCCTGTTAAATTTGTATCTATTGTTGTCTCTAAGCCCTTGCTTCATGCCATGTATAGATAGTTCAGAAAAAACAACAACAACAACAAAAAAAACAAAACAAAAAAAACAAGACAGCTATAGTGTGGCAAGATGTGATGCAAAACTGGCAACACAAAATCCAGGAACATTTTAAAACTACACGACAGGCAGAGTTAGGGGCCCTAATACTGGCCTTACAAATTTTCCTTACCAAAATATAAATATAGTTAGTGATTCTGCTTATGTGGTGTATACTATTACTCATTTAGATCTTGCACATGTGAAGGGCATTACTAATGAATCTCTAGTAGCTTTATTTCTTACAGTGCAAAAGCTCCTCTGTACCCATTGTTACCATCTTTACATCACTCATATTTTCTCTCATTCTAGGTTACCTGGTCCCTTATCAGAAGAGAATGCTTGAGCTGATGCTCTAGTGCAACCACAAATGTGGTTTGCATTTTTTGCGAGCTCAAGCTGATCATGCTTTTTTCATCAGAATGTCTGCAGTCTTAAACAACAGTTCACTTAACACTTGCTCAAGCTCACATGATTATTAAAATTTGACTTAATTGCCAACAGCATTCTATCTTCTTTTTCCTTAGCACTTGGTGCCAACCCATGAGGTTTGGCGCCTAATGCTATCTGGCAAACTGATGTTACTCATTATCCACACTTGGAACCTTCTCAAGTTTCTTCACATTACCATGAACATCTATACAGGCTTAATACATGCTACCCTTTGGACAAGACCAAGAAAAAATTAAAGATACAATTTTTCATTTGTTTATTATAAATTTAGCCCTTCTACAAACTATAAAAACTGATAATGGACCTTACTATCTTAGTGCTCAATTTACATATGCATTGCAACTTTAACACATGCAACATAAAACTAGCATCCCTTATATCTCAACTAGTTAGGCCATTATTAAATAAGCTCATCAAACTCCTAAAGTATATCTTAATTAACAAAAAAGGAGGGATATGGGGCTCCCTCCTCAAGAACTGGATCTGTCGTTGGAGAATCAACCAGCAGTGATAATGATGACTTGGAAGACATCTTACATTATGTGAGGACAGCTAAAGAGACTGGATCAACAAGCAAATATCCAGCTTGCTGCTGTGGAAGCCCCTGCGACTACAGAGAACTGGTTTCTTATGTATCTGGCGGTAACTGGGGAAACTTCTGAGAAAGTGAGACAGACATGGATGTTAGGATGGTTGGTAATTCTTGTCCTTTGCCAAGTGGGATCAGCTCAAGAACATGTTTCTTGGAGTCATGTTCTATGTCCCCATTTTTAATGTTATTACACGGTGGGATGCTGACCTGCCTTTGTCATCTAATGATACTTTTTGTACAGGAGGTCAATAGATGCCAGTCTTACCCTTTAACTGAAAATTTGAGATGGATTAAACTTAATGACTAATTAATTTTATTGTCTAGTAATCTCCCTCTTTGTTTTTCCGCAATAGCACATGACAAGTGTGTTACTCTTATTCCTCAGGAATGTGTGTACTATCAGCTCAAAAGGGATGCTAAGCTTGCAAATTTGACCTTTATTTCTGCTGTTACCACTAATCTTACTGAGGTCTCTAATGAAGCTACAAAAGTGCCTGATCTTCCTATATGACATCTGAGTAGGGACTGAAGCTATAAGTTTGAGGCTGTCCGTTGATATGCGTGCAGAAAGCCTATGCTGTGCCAAGGGCCCCTGTTTCATAATGGTACCTTACTTGATTGGGGCCCCCGTGTTTATCTTGTGACTGCAAAACAGACTATTGGATCTGGGAGTCCCTCATAGTCAGAGTATGAGCTTTCAGTACCAATATTGCAACTGAAATAAGCCCTGCTCATACCCAAATTTGGAGATTAAGACTTTCCTTTTTTGAAAGGCGTCTTTCACATGGTGAGTACACTACTAGTGGTGGCAACTATACCCTTTCTTTGCAGAATAATGTTACTGATACAGTCTTGATTTGTGCTACGCACCCTTATATACTTCTGTTTGGGCAAGGTGTTCCTAACATAAAGCAGAATCAATTCTTTATAGTATTAAAGTCTCTTCCAGTAGCTGGTATGCGATATCCTTGTCTCATCAAAATGCAATGCAGTTAAATATAACCTATGTCATGATTTTAAAACAACATGCAGAATTGCAGCTGCCCATAAATTTAACCTGGAACTAGGAAGGAGATTCCACCTTGCAATAATTTAGAAAAGCACACCTGCAAGGGGCTTATCACAACCATCTGTCTTCTCAAATTTCCATTCTTGAGTGTGAATTTAAAAAACAACTTGAAGTATGGTCACAGCAATAACAAACAAGTACCCTTCAGTAATTACAAGAAGGCTTTCAATCGCTAAACTCGAACACTTGGTTGTCAGGGTTAAACATACACATTTGGGTGATGGCCCCTATGCTTGTTCTTTTTTGTATTTGTTCGCTGGGCATTGCTTTGTGCTGCCACCTGATGCATCTACAACCAGGGAAGAACAATGAAGCTTATCTTGCGTTGGATGACCAGCATGCTCTAAGAATTAAAAAAGAGGGAAATGTAGGGGGTGCACAGCAACATATTAAAGCTTATGTACATGGCATTTGAGGTCAGGGCATGGAAAAATACTGAAGCACTGTGTGTATGTTATTTGTGCATGAGAATAAAATTCCTTGACCCTGAAAACAGGACAGGGAGTGGGGTGTGTGTTATGACAAAAAACACTGGAAACAGCCTCCTGAGAATGCAGTTTAAGTGTGTACAAGGTCACAGGTGCCTCAGCAACCCACCTCAAATGACCATCTAGTAGATGTTTGTAGTTAATACAAGCTCTTTCAATAAATACCTGGTGTACGGATGCCGGGGCAGACTCTCTCGGAAGAGCTACCCGCTATTCCCACTCAGCTGGAACTGAGTACTTCCTTCTTGGCATTCATTGCAATGTATAAGCTCTGCACAAATATTTCTAACAATTTTATTAACAATTGCCAAAATCTAGAAGTAAGCAAATATCCTTCAATGGGTCAACAGATAAAGAAGTATCCATACAATGAAATTTTATTTATCAATAACAAAGAAATGATTGGCCTCCAGTTTCCATCCAGCATGTAAGGAGCTGGAAGACACCATTTCATCCTAAGAAGTTAAAAACTGAACAGAAATCAATGACTCCTTTGAGATATAACAGAGTTGAGGTCACAGGACAAACCACTGCACCTCAAGTTGGAGAGGCCAACAGCCATAGCTTGCTGTAGCAGAAAGTCTCAAACATAAACTTACAAGGGGAACCAGTGGTGAAAGTGGGGAAACCTGAACTATAACTGATGAATTCTCTTGCTGAAATCTCAATATGGAAAAGTCTGAGAGATAGAAACTTGATGGGGGGCCAGTTAGCCTATCATTAACGACCTCACACTTTTTTGAATTTTACCTCCAGGAACTCAACCAGGTTCTCACAGTGACTATCAGAGAAAAAAATAAAATAGTCTGTGCTTCTGGCAGGGGGAGGGAAAAATAAACCATTTTGAAATATGCCAGAGAATCCTGTTCTTCTTAACAAGGTCTTCCCACAGGAGAAACTAATTAACCAAAGTCTAACATGCTGAGTCTTTATCAAAGTCTAACTGATGGGGGATGGAAAATACTCAATTCCAACTAGCTCTAGTGTTCCTTCCACTTGAAAGAAGAGAAATACCCAATGCTAGCCCATGTTAGCCATCCTGTCTCACCTAAGAGGAAGGAGGAGGAAACTGAGAAATATGTGTGGAGTTCAAAGTTCAGAGGCAAAGACTCATTAAAAGACTGAGACCACATGGCCAGGCTGCAAATTTTCAAAACTTTTACACTTTGCTTCTCTCTTAAATATAAGTGCCAGTTTTACATCATTTCTTTGCTCACAAATATAAGCATAGGCTGTTGGAATCTTGAATGCTTTGCTGCTTAGAAATTTCTTCCACCAAATACCATAAATCGTTGCCCTCTCAAGTTTGAAGTTTCACAGATTTCTAGAGCAGGGGCACAATGCCTCTAACCTCTTTGCTAATGCATAACTAAAGTGACCTTTGCTCCAGTTCTCAGAGTTCCCAGTAAGTTTTTCATCTCTATCTGAGACTCCTCAGCCTGAACTTTATGGTCTATATAACTATCAGCATTTGATGACAACAATTTACCACATCTCTAGGAAGTTCCAAACTTTCTCTCATCTTCCTGTCTTCTTCTGAGGCTTACACATCCTTCCAACTGCTGCTCATTACCCAGTTCTAAAGTTACTTCCACATTTTCAGGTGTCTTTATAGTAATGCCCTACAACTAGGCATCAATATTTTATATTAACTTGTTCTTGCACTGCTATAAAGTAATACCTAAGCCTGGGTAACTTATAAAGAAAAGAGTTTTTACTGGCTCACAGTTCTGCAGTCTGTACAGGAAGCATGGTGGCTTCGGGGGAGGCCTCAGGAAATTCCTAATCATGGCAGAAGGTAAAGAGGAAGCAGGAATGCCTTACATGGCTGAAGCAAGAGGAAAACAGGTGGAGGGAGCAGGTACTAAAGGCTTTTAAAAACCACATCTCATTCATTATCAAAAGAACAGCAAGGACAAAATCTGCCCCCAGGTTCCAATTAGCTCCCTCCAGGCCCCACCTCAAACACTGAGGATTACAAATTCTACATGAGATTTGGGCAAAGACACATGACATGGTTTATATCTATGTCCCTGCCCAAATCTCATGTTGAATTGTAATCCCAATGTTGGAGGTGGGGCCTGATGGGAAATGACTGGATCCTACAGGTGGTTTCTCATGGTTTAACATGGAGATAAAGTTGCAATAGTGAGTTCCCACAAGATCTGGTTGTTTAAAAGTATGTAGCACCTTTCACTCCCTTCTCTTCCTCCTGCTCTGGCCATATAAGGCATGCCTGCTTCTTTCACCTTTCACCTTCTGCCATGACTGAAAGTTCCCTGAAGCCTCCCAAGAAGCCATCATGCTTCCTGTACAGCCTATGGAACTGTAAGCAAATTAAACCCCTTTTCTTTATAAATTACCCAGCTTTAGATTTTTTTATTGCTGTGCAAGAACAGACTAAAACAAATGCCTTCATTGTGAATAATTCCTGAAGGCTCTTAGTCTTTTTACAGTTAACATTTTTTTTAATAAGTAGGAGTATGCTGTCATACAATAAGAAAAAGTACAGTATAATAAATACACAAACTAGTAACATAGCTACCTTTAAAGTATGTACTGTACATAATTGTATGTGCTCTAATATTATACAACTGGGAGAGCAATAAGTTTGTTTACACCAGCATAATCACAAACACAATTAAAGCATCATGCCACATGATAATGGCTACAGCATCAGCAGGCAGTAGGAATTTTTCACCTCCATTATAAACTTACAGGACAACTGTTGTATATGTGGTCCATCATTGACCAAAATGCAGCACATGACTGCACAAGCATACTGGAATAGAACAAATAAATAAATCAGTGATGGATAGTGGGAGCCAGGTTCTCACAGTTGGAGTGGGAATTTACAGATAAGCAAGGTGAGAGGCTAGAATGGTCCATATAAGAATGGATTAGAGTAGAGACATCAGTATTAATTTATTTTTTAGCTCAGTTTAGAGTTGGTTACATATAGGAATGTTACAATATGTGTATGTATTCAGATTAGTATGCCCAGGTATATTACTTTGTTCTATAAGCTGAGAGAGCCCAGAAGCAAAATGCCTTGGGTATATCTAGCACACAAATTTCGTCTTCTAAAAACTTTCCCTAACAAGAGGAACCAGAGCTTCTTGGAGAAATAGCTAATTCTAGGGCCAGGAGAAAAAAACATAGGTGATGAGCCTAGGGCATCTGGAAGTGTCAGAAAGTAAGGAAGTGCTAAAAAAACAAGCAAGTAGACAAACATGTCACAATAATAGGAATATGTCAAAGGAACACAGAGACCACCAGAGGAGCTCCCAATAGCCAAAGCTAGAACAATGTGAGCGAGAAAATTAAGTACTACTGGGTTATCACTCAAAATATAAAACAAATATCTATGAGTTCATACAGAATAAAAAATGACTAAGTAAGCAAACATGGGGGAAAGAACAAAGCACCCTTACAAAAGAATTCTGAATAATTTATATAAATGTTCCGCTGTCACATCACACACTGGGGCCTGCCAGCGGGTGAGGGGAAGGAGAAGGAGAGCATTAAGACAAATACCTAATGCATGCAGGGCTTAAAACCTAGAAGACAGGTTGATAGGTGCAGCAAACCACCATGGCACATGTAACAAATCTGCATGTCCCATACATGTATCCCAGATAAGAACTTAAAGTAAAATAAAATAAAATAAAATAAAATGTTCCACTCTCAAGGAGGTAAAGCATAACTCCCCTCTCATTACATATAGGCTACATAGTGACTTCCTTCCAAAGACTATAGGATGGAAAGGAGGAGGGAAAGGTAACTTTACCTTAGAGAAACATGGCAAATACTACCTCAGTCAGGTGATCAAGGTCAACATTGGTAATCACAAATCATGTTGATAGTCTCTACCCTTAAAATGGTGTGATGAAAATGGCACTTTACTTCTGTGATCTTCTTCCTAAAAATCCCATAACCCTTGGATAATGAGAAAAATATCAGCAAATTCCAATAAAAAATCATTCCACAAAATTCCTCACCAGTACTCCTCAAAACTACCAAGTACATCAAAAACAAAAAATATGTATATATATGAGAAAATATCACTGCCAAGGGGAACCTAAGGAAGTAAAATAATGCTCCATTGAACAGTTTGACAACTTCATGTCTAGCAACTAAATGATTAAAGTCATTTTCTTTTTTTTTCCCCCATTTATTTATTTTATTGCATTTTAGGTTTTGGGGTACATGTGAAGAACATGCAAGATTGTTGCATAGGTACACACGTGGCAGTGTGATTTGCTGCCTTCCTCCCCATCACCTACATCTGACATCTCTCCCCTTGCTATCTCTCCCCAGCTCCCCACCCCCCACCGTCCCTCCCCTATTTCCCCCCAACTGACCCCAGTGTGTAGTGCTCCCCTCCCTGTGTCCATGGGTTCTCATTGTTCAACACCCACCTATGAGTGAGAACATGAGGTGTTTGATCTTCTGCTCTTCTGTCAGTTTGCTGAGAATGATGGTTTCCAGGTTCATCCATGTCCCTACAAAGGACACAAACTCATCGTTTTTGATAGCTGCATAATATTCCATGGTGTATATATGCCACATTTTCCCTGTCCAGTCTATCATTGATGGGCATTTGGGTTGGTTCCAGGTCTTTGCTATTGTAAACAGTGCTGCAATGAACATTCGTGTGCACGTGTCTTTATAGTAGAACGATTTATAATCCTTTGGATATATACCCAGTAATGGGATTGCTGGGTCAAATGGAATTTCTCTTTCTAGGTCCTTGAGGAATTGCCACACTGTCTTCCACAATGGTTGAACTAATTTACACTCCCACCAACAGTGCAAAAGTGTTCCTATTTCTCCACATCCTCTTCAGCATCTGTTGTCTCCAGATTTTTTAATGATCGCCATTCTAACTGGCGTGAGATGGTATCTCAATGTAGTTCTGATTTGCATTTCTCTGATGACCAGTGATGATGAGCATTTTTTCATATGTTTGTTGGCAAGACATACATGAGGCCAAAGAACTCTGACCTTCTGAGAGACGGCTTGAAGACAAAGGTAACATGGAATGGCTAGTGAAGGAAGAAAGTTAAATCCCAAGTTATATCCTTATCTCCAGTTGCAGAAGCAAGTATAGGATAATGTCTCAATATATCATGCACTAATTTTATCTTAACTGCATCCTCTCTCTTTGCACTCTTTTCTGGCACAACGAATAAATTTGGTTCCCTGTTTGTGATTAACATTACCACTTAATCCTTGCATTGCAGAATACTGAGACAGAGTTGTAATAGCACTGAAAGAATTTGGATCACCTACTTAGATTGCCCTCTTTTAGATAGGAAGGATGTGTTTATATTATTATAAATGTTTACATTTATTGGAATAATTTTAGGGATTTATGAGAAGATAGATGTACATGGCTATTTGGCAGCCAAAAGCATGATTGTAGTACACATATATTTGAGCTTTAGCAGCCTGACTATTCCCTTGATTCTCAAAAGCCACTGGGTGTGATCTTCACACTTTAGGGCACTGGATACAAAGATGTAAGAGACCTGAAGGTAAGATCAATGAAACAGTAACAATAACAATAGAGACAGTGGGTGGGGGAAGTGTGGTAATGAGTAGAAGCATCAGTAGTGGCAGAGATTTTACTCTCTAGCTCCATGTATACAAAGGCACTACCCTTTATTGAGCTTTGTTCACCAACTCTATCCAAATACCATTATCTATCCACTACTCTTCTAACCAATTCCACTTCTTCTTTATGAGATTTCTTTAACAACAACAAAGAAACCCTACCACTCTATTTACTGTGTTATCATAAAATATAAATACGTATCATATATACATATATGAAAAAATAATGCCTGACATGCACAGCAAATATCAAGGAAAGATATTTGGGTTTCACATTTGATTACTTTGCATTTTTTAAAACCCTAAAGACATGTACTTGTTACATAGCAAATCCCTCTTTTCCTTTATCCAAACATCTCACTTGTCTGTCTGAATTGTGTGCCAATGTTCTACCCTCATCCTGACCAGACAGGCATTTGCAGAGATACAAATTGTCAACTCTGGGTACTCCTGATTTTATAACTTGCCTCTAAATACTATTTTTAGTTGACATTATAACACCTTTATCCTGTTTCTTTTCTGAATTAAAGGGGAAAAAGATACCTAAATAATCTCAGCTGACATAACCTGTGCTGCTTGACAAATCATCTCTCAGGAAAATTAATGATCCCACCAGCCTAGGCAAGGTACTCTCCTTTTATAGTGATAGAATGAATGAAGAATAGATGCTTTCTATGCAATACTTCATAAATTTATGTGTTTACAGAGCAAAGTTTATAGCACTTACTCAAGAGGTTCCACTTCTAATTGTACTATCTGTAGTACAATGTAAATCAAGGTTCAACAAGTTGAATATTCATAGAAGAATTGTTGATTCACACACACCCATGACACCTATTAACAAAAGAAATTGTTTACAATCTGTTATACATCACACCTTCTCAAGTTAAGCATAGCACCAGTGATACTGCCTTTCACAGACTGATCCAATGAAAATGGAAAAAGAAAAAAAAATGAAAGTGAAAATCAAGTGAAAGAATCAATTGGTGGCTGGGCACAGTGGCTCACACCTGTAATCCCAGGACTTTGGGAGGCCAAGGCAGGT